AATTCCAGATCCCAGGAGGGAAGAACCAGGTAGGCCTTTCTGAAAGTTCTCAGTGTGAAATGCTGCACACACAGAATTCGTTGTTTAAACAATAGCAACAAAAAAGATGCAACATTGCAATTCAAAGGGGCATCGACCCCAGGCGTGAACCCCCTCCTAACTTTGCACCGAGGGAGACCACATTTTAAACAGAATTAAGGCTAGCACTAGGTTCAACACCACCGCTAGAGCAGCGCCTGTCAAACTTTTAGCAAATTTTTAGGACTGCATGGACGTCAGCTCCTCCCCCACATGCCGGCTGAGGGATTCTGGGAGTTGAAGTCCAGGCATCTTCCAAATTGCTGAGCTCGAGGGACACAGCTTGCAAAACAACATTGGATCTTATGGCTAATGGACCTGCAAGCACCGTGGTGCCTCTCTTTCCAAGCTGCCAATAGGAAAACTCTCAAATCTCTACTACCGGTAGGAGACCATCGCTTGCCAGGGAAAAAAGGATGGGCTTCCAAACTTTTAAGCAGCTCTCACCATAAAGCAGAAATTCAAATATACCTCTTCACAGTGCTTTGCAGCAGCCCTCTCTCAAGTTCTCAGAGTCAGCCTATGGCCCCCAACAATCGGGGTCTTCATGCAAAGGATTAGGCAAAAGTCAGAATAAGGTGAGTTAATTTATCCGGGCTTCTTCACCGAGATAAGTTGCCTGATTAGTCTGTTATTGGGATTAGGGGGGAAATCTAAGAGTTTTATCACAGATAGTCCTTGAATTGCAATCATTCATTTAGTGACTTTGAAGTTACAACAGCGCTTTGAAAAAAAGGGACTTGCAGCCAGTTCTCATACTTATGACTGTAGCGACATCCTTAGAGTCACTTGATCAAAATTCAGGCCCTTGGCAACGAGCTCCTATTTACGACGGTTGCAGCCTCCTGGGGTCACATGATCGCCATTTGGGACCTTCCCAGCTGGCTTCTGACAAGCATAGTCAATGGGGAAGGGGGAGAAGCTGGATTCGCTTAATGACCACGTGATTCATTGAACAACTGTAGCGATTCACTTAACAACTCTGGCCAAAATGGTCGTAAAATTATGCAAGACTCAGTGAATAAGCACAGAAATCCTGATCTCGATTGTAGTTGTAAGTCAAGGACTATCTGTGTACCCTTTCCTGCATCCAGTGCAGCCCCAGTAGGTAACAGCCAGAAGTTCATGTGGCTGGTTGGTTCTGCCAGGAGGAGGGACCTCAACACGGCCAAACATCTGTCAGTCAAGAGCAGCTGTGTGGGAAGGTCTGCAGATGGTTTCCCCACGGAGCATAAAATGGCTTTTTAGAGCATGGAGGATTTATGGCAAGCGGCTCAACCTGGAACACTAAGAATCCAGGGCGATACACCGGTTGCAACCCCTTGGAGCAGCTGTGACTCAACTTACGACCACCATTGAGCCCAACATTTCTGCTGCCGAGTGAGACATCTGTTGAGTTTTACCCCATTTTATGATCATTCTTGACCCGGTTGTTAAGCGAACCTCTGCCGTTGTTAGTAACACGGTTAAGTGGCTTCCCCATTGACTTTGCTTGTCCGGTCGCAAAAGAGGATCACATGAGCCAGGGAGACTGAAACAGTCATAATTATGAGTTACTATAACTTCAAATGGTCACTAAATAAAATGATTGTAAGTCGAGGACTAGCTGTATAACTTTTCAAGTGGGCCACTCACATGCTAACATTAAGACAGGGGTTGACATGCAATAACCCAGCCAATGGAATACGGGAATCTCCATTCATTTACTTCCATTTGACAGCTATTTCCACTGTAATTATATGTACTATTACTCCAAAAAAGAAAAGCAGCTCTAAAGATTGAAGTCTGGAATTTTAAACATAAAGGGTTACTGCCTTACTGAGCACTGCGGCACAGAAGGCATTTTTGATCTTTTTTTTTTTTTAGAAGAATATATATTTACCGTAAGTAGTCACAGCTTGAAGACTAAGTGCAGTTACAGTGGAAAATTCAGACGAAGGTACAGCTGCCTAGTTATCAGTCTACCCAGCAATGTATGTGAATGGTCAAGAGCAAACCCCACAACAGTACAGTGGTGGTTTCTGCCAATTTGAAACTAAATTCACAAGCCTAGCAAACCGTCCAACTATGAGAATACAAGCAGGCCAAAACTTACAAATCCGAACTGTTTTTAAATCTGAAGCCCCCAGTTTTGGGAGCAGAACAACTTAAAACTCAAGAGGGCTGTAAAGCATTATAAAATGGTATACAGGTCTAGGTGCTATTGACTATGGGCTCAGCCTTCTGTTACAGGTGTTACGTTTACTTACTCTACATGAAACACCTCCCATCCTTCTGAGGTGGGTCAAACGGGGTCCCAGATTGTTGGAGGCAACATGCAAATAACGCTTCTATGTTGCAAACCCCCAGAGAGGGGCTGTAAAGCCCGATGGGGTGGTATAATAATATAACCAATTGACCAATTGAAATAGAGCTGGAAGGGACCCTGGAGGTCTTCTAGTCCAACCCTCTGCTCAAGCAGGAGCCTAGACCATTTCAGCCAGGTGGCTGTCCAGTCTCTTCTTGCAAACCTCCAGTCATGATGATGATGATGATGATGATAAGAAAAACAGCTTCCATCCAGAGAGGACATCTGTAACCCCATCCAACACCCACATCTGCCTATCTCAGGTCCTTGGAAAGGACTCCATGGCTGCCCCAAAAATGCCAAACATCTGCCACGAACCATCATCATCACCATCATCATCATCATCAAAGCCTCCTCCATGCAACCGCTGAAACCCATCATGCTTTTGTAAAAAGAAAAAGAAAAAGAAAGAAAAGGGGGGGGGGAAAGAGCGTTATTTGGGCGCCAGGTGCAAAGGCGGGGGAGGGAAAGGGGTGGAAATTCAATTCCTGGCCGTGGGCCTGAGGCTTTCCCGGGGCCAAGCGGGCCTCCAAGCCTTTCCTTGCGGAGGGGCCAAGCTCGCCTCCAGCGGCGGGAACAAAGCCCGGCCTAGTCCCCGCGGGGCAGCGTGGCGGGCGGGGAGGAGCCCGGGCGGCGGCGGCGGGGGAGGCTTACCGGGGGTCGAGGCGCGCTTCGGGGCGTCATGCGGGCGGCGGGGAGGCTGCTCCGGGCTGGGCGGGAGGCGCTGCGCCGCGCTCCGCCTCCCAGGCCGGGCCGGCAGCCAGGCGGACGTCAGGCCTTCTCGAGGCGCCCCGCAGACGCCGCCGGCCTCGCCCCGCCGAGCAGCCCGGATGGGGGGAGGAGGAGGAGGAGGGCTTCTCGGGCAGGCCTGGGCCTCTCCGACCGAGCTGGGCCGCTTTCGGGCCTGCGGACTCCAACTCCCAGAATTCCCCCGCCCTGGTCTGCCCCCGCTCGGCTGGCTGGGCGGTTCTGGGAGTTGGAGTCCCGGCGCGGCCCAGCTGGGAGAAGAGCCAGCGTGGTGGTTTCGAAGCCCGCTCCGTCTTTATGTTTGCTTTGGCTTCGGCTGGGGTTAATTTTTAATTCGGCTTGGATATTAGATTTAGTTATATATTATTATGGTTCCCTTTGAGGCTGAAAGCCAGGCGAAAGTCCCTTCCTCAGTCCACAGGGATCAGGCCACAGAAAAAAGAGCGGGAAGAGGGGGGGCTGTCAACTTATTTCTTCTTTTCCCAACAACAACAACCTCTCATAAACCAGAGGCCTTCAAACTTGGCAGCTTTAAGACTGGTGGACTTCAACTCCCAGAATTCTCCAGCTAAGCTGTGCTGGCTGGAGAATTCTGGGAGCTGAAGTCCACCAATCTTAAAGCTGCCAAGTTTGAAGGCCTCTGGTAAAAATCCTTCCCCTCCATCCAGTCAGAGCTGAAGAAGCTTCGCGGATGAGAAGCGAAACGTCTTCAAAGAAAAACCACCTTTGGGACAACAATATCTCAACAAAAACCAGCGGTGGGCAGCTATTTACAACCTGCAGCCTTCAACTCCCAGGATTCCTGAGGCAGCCACTGGTCGTAAATAGGCCATAGTTGCCCAGCCCTGCACCAAACTAACCGGACAGAACTTCTGCAGCCGAGTTTTCCAGGAGACTAACCGCCAACTTGGCTAATGATGGGGCTCAGCCCATCCATTAAGGAAACACAACTCCACCAGCACAGCCACAGACGCACACACCCACCTCACGTGAGCCTTGTGTGAGTCTATGACACAGCAACTAGGCAAGGCTTGCACACACACAGTGCACAGCTAAACCTGACAGAACAGAATATTTGCAGCCTGGGTTTGAAATGTGGGGGCCCTGATTCTCTCTGAGCTGGGTGCTTTTCTTGCAGATGTTTCATGGCCCAACTAGGGAACACCATCAGTGCTGGAAAGGAGGGGGAATTGCTCTCTAGGGCAAGCCACTTGTACATCAGGAAAGAGGAACCATCACTCTCGTCTAGCACTGATGATGTTCCCTAGTTGGGTCATGGAATGTCTGAAAGGAAACAGCCAAGCTCAGGGAGTACCAAGAACCCCTGATAAATAAAAATATACAAACCCAGGGAGATTCGCTGCACTAAGTTTTGTTCCGAGGAGACCAAAATAGAATCAGTTTCACAAAACAGCACGTTTCACACTTTACAAATGAGAAAATGTGAAACATTCCAGTCTCTCAACAGAAGGCGCCTGGTAAAAGCTTGTGCCTTTGAATAAAGGGTGGAAAAGGCGCTACTATACATCTTTTTTCTTACTGCTTTTCTTAAAAAGCAGTGTTTGCTTTTTACACTGGGCATCCACCACTCAGTCCTCTTGCCGTTCTCAGAGAGTTTTTCCAATAAGAAATAGCAGATCAAATGTCCGAAAAGTGCTTTCTTTCCCCAAATGTTTTTCCTTGAAGACATTTAGTTTCTCATCCAAGAAGCGTCTTTGGTTCTGACTGAAGCTTTGGCCAGTCAGAACTGATGAAGCCTTTTGGATGAGAAGTGAAATGTCTTCAAAGAAAAACAAAAGTCCAGTTGCCTTTTGGGGAGGGGGGGTGGGATAAGCAACTTTGGGACAACCGTGACCTGGTGGATGGCTGAGAATCTCCAGAGCAGATCAAATGCAATTCTCCCCTCAAAGCAATGCACATTTACAGAACATCATCATTGGCACAGAACTTTCTAGGAAAAGAAAAAGAAGCAAAAAAGATTGGCCAACGCCTTCCAGGGCAAAGGCGGGTTGGAGGAGGAGAAGCAGTCGTGTTCCAGGCATGTCTTTATCCTCCACCCAGGACGAGAGACCAAGCCAAGCCAAGCATTTCTTTCATCCAAGAGGACGGTTTGGACGGACGGCTCAAGAGGGAAAGAAGATCCCAAACGCAGCTCCAAAGACCCAGATTCCTCAAAGGGGGAAGATCCCCGGGAAGCCTCCGGGTGGGTCTCCCAGCGACACTGGGATGGAAATGCAGCACAGAAAGCCGGAAAAAGATTTCACATTTCCTGACTTGAAAGCAACACGGCCCATCGCACAAATCCGGCTTGCACAGACATGTCCGATGCTTGAGTTTGTGCCGCTGAATTTCGGTCGCCGGCTCTGCCCGCCTCCACAGGTAAAGTGGGGGAGGGGGGACAGCACATCTGGCTCCCAACAAGGTCAAGGCAGCGGCCAGCAACTTCCACTTATCACATTAATTTCGGGTGGGGGCGGGGAGGCTACAACTGAGAAGGCCAGCCAGAAAAGAGGGGGGTGAAGGAGCACCCATAGGCAATACAGACCATCCTTGATTTATGGCCATAATTGGGAACATAATTTTGTGTTGCTAAATGAGCAAGGGTTATTATGTGAGTTGCACCTGGTTTTAATGGTTTCAATGGCTAGATGGCCTAGGCCCTGGACACTAGTACCTGAACATCCATCTTTTTAACATTCAACCAGTTAAGCCAGGTGCAACTCACATAATAACCTTTGCTCATTTAGCAACAAAAATTCTATTTTATTGTGTATTTTAAAATCTAGGCGAAATGTTAATATATACATTGCAAGTCATCTATGCTAGAAGGAAGAGGAGGAAGTGGGGGTTTGTGGTGGGGGGAGGAGGAGGAATACTGTGGGGTCCTTGGTGCTCTTTGAGCTTGGTAGTTTTCTTGCAGATGTCTCATGACCCAACTAGGTAATATCATCAGTGCCAGAAGGGAATGACTCTTTTTACCTTACTCCCTTCTAGAATGATGATGATGTTACCTACTTAAGAAATGAAATGTCTGCAAGAAAACAACCAAGCACAGTTCAATCCTGAGCTTCTAGCAGTATTTATGAAATTTTGCTATGAATTGACTCTAAGCAGCTTACAACTAAGTAAAAGCAATAAGATAAAAACATCCAACTATTAAAATGATAAATATTGAAATTAAAATTGACTTAACGAAGTAGGCAAGAAAAGCAGCCAGATGAGCATAGGTGTTCTTGAGAAATTGATGCCATATTATTTATACTCCTTATCGTTTCCTTTTTCTGTCTTTTTATTGGGTGCAAGGTACACCAAAAGACACACTGGAAGCTGCAACACACAACCGACCAGCCCCGAAATCTCTTGGATTCCAGATCCCTAAGATGTAACGTGCATTTATTTGGGATGTTTTTTAGTATTTTGAAAATACTTGTTATCTTTTTCATGGTTTTGAAACTGGAAGCCACCCAGAGTCCTTGACTGAGGTGGGCGGCTACAGAAATCAAATCAATGGAATAGATAAATGGATAAATAAATAAATAAAGCATGTCCTGGCAACCCAAGTTTCCCGGCTTAGCACGCCTGTGAACACAACCACACAGTGACAGCGAGACACCCGACCTGGCAGCGGAAAAACAAAGAGGGGTTTTGTGCCTTGGAGGGCATCAAGGAAGGGAATTGGGGGAGGGGAGGGGAGGGAGGGGGAGGGGGCAGCCCAGCCTCCAAGTGACAGATCACACCCTCCCCATCACACAAACACCCCAAAAGCATCCCAGTCCTGGTGTCTCCTGTTAAGGACAGTCATGGATTCTGCAGGGTGGGGGAGGGGGGCACATCTGGACAGGGGCGAAAGAGGCTGCCCAGGGGAGGGGGGCTGCCGGACCCCAAGGGGCAGACATTGGGGGTCTTTTGCCCACCCCAAAAGCAGAATTGCACCCCGAAGGAGAAATGAAGGATCCCCAAAACAGATTTCCCGACGCTCCCCCCCCCCCCCGCCTTTAAGCAAATGAAGCAACCCCCCCCCGCCCCATAGGAAGGGCACCCAAAGCATCGTTGGGGGGGAGGAAAAGAGGACCCCCACCCCCTCCCTCTTCTTCCGAGCCCCCCCCAGCTGCCTCCTCCTCCTCCCCCCCGGATCCCCGTCTTTCTTTTCGCCCCCTCCCCAGCCCAGGCTATTGATGGGGGGCAAACCCGCATCTCGCATAGCCGCATTCGCACGACACGCTTAACCCGGACACGGGATGGCCACTGCGGGACTGAAGGACGGCATACACACATACGCAACGCCTCCCCCTCCCCCTCCCACATACATACACACTCCGAGCCCCCTCCTGCGGGACCCCCCTCCTCCCCCCCAGCAGAGGCCTACCTGCTCGGCCGTCCTACCTGGCAGGGCCGTCGTGGGGGGGGCGGCAAGGCCGGCCGCTCGGAGGGGCGCCGAGGGGGCCGCTCCCAACCGGGGGGCTCCCGGGGTGGTGGGGACGCCGCACGGGCTCCAGTCGGGGCCTCCCGCGCCCCACCGACCTCGAGTTGGGCCTCTCGGCGGGCCGCGGCCGGAGCGGAGGCAGCGGCGACGGCGAGCGCGGCCCGGAACTACGCCTCCCGGCAGGCCCCGCGCGCCCAAACGCCTGGCTTCCGCTCTGAGGAGCGGAGAGACTACACCTCCCGGCGGCCCTTGCGCGGCGAGCGCTTTTTCTTTTCTTTTTTTTCCGAACGCAGCTGTATTGCTGTTGCCTTGGCGACGCCCCGCCTCCGCATTCCAATGTGCGGCGGCGAAGCCGGGCGCCGGGCGAGGATGGTGGGTCTGCGCGCGCGCGGCTGGGGGGCGCTTGCAAGGCTGGGGGCGGCCGGGGGGGGGGGCAGGGGCAAGTTGGAGAAGTGGGGGAAAAACCCGCTGCAGATTGCACTCCCGCTACCATCATCCCCAGCCGCGGCCAAGGGAGGAAGGCGCGCTCCCCGGGACCGGCGGTCCGGATTTAAGTGGGGGGCGCGCCCTTCTGCGCGGAGCCCCCCGGATCCCGAAGCAGCCCCGGAGCTGCAACCCGTGCAAGGTGGCTTCTGTTTTGCACGCTTCCCCGGGTGCGCCAGGGGCCCCGATCCCCCGTGAGATACAGAGTGGGTTGTTGCCACCCTCTGCGCCCGATCCGCGCACAGGGGGCCTATCCGCGCAACCCGGGCTTCCCAAAGCGCTTCCCTCTGGAAGAGCTGGACTACGACTCCCAACCCTTGTGAATCCCCCAGAGGGGAATAGCGGCCTTGGGCTCCGACATCCTCTTGATCTTGGGTGGGTGGGGAGCCCTCCGAAGACCCCCCCCCGGCTGCGAAAGGAGCGCCATGAAGGCCGGGTGGCTCTGGGCTGGCAGCAATGCTGCATCCGTGTGATGACGATGATGGTGGTGGTGAATTAAGAGCTTCGTAAACCGTCCCACTTCCAGCCACTCACAAAACCCCCGAAGTTAATTGAACTTGGCCCAAGTCCCTTGAACCCCCTTCCACCAGCCAGCCCTTTAGGGTAACAGAATAAGAGAGCTAGAAGGGACCTCGGAGGTCTTCTAGTCCAACCCCCTGATCAAGCAAGAGATCCTATACCCTTTCAGGCAAATGATTCTCCAGTCTCTTCTTAAAAACCTAACTTCATGAGTCAGGCTGTTCCACAGCCTAATAGCTCTCACAACCAAAAGATTCCTCCTTATTTCTAGAATGGATCTCTCATTGTAAAGGTTCCACTCATTAGTTCTTAGCTTTAGCTGCTAGGGAGAATAGAACCTCTTCCCTGTAACCACCCTTCCCTTTGGCTGGCAAATGGAGCTGAAGGAGGGGAGGTGCAGAGGGCACCATGCCCAGAATCCCTGTCAGCAGGGCCCGGGAAGCTATGGGAACTCACCTGCTTTATGGAAGTTGGAGTCCAGTTTGGGACTGCAGCGTAACTCTTGTACTTCCTGGTGTTAATTCTGTGGGGTCCTTGGTACTCCCTAAGCTGGGTTCTTGCAAACATTTCATTTCTCAACTAAGAGACATCCCCAATGTGAGGAGGAGGAGGAGGAGGAAGGCTGTGGGGTCCTTGGTGCTCTCTGGGCTTGGTGGTTTTTTTGCAGAAGTTTCAGTGCCCAGCTAGGTAACCATCACTGCTGAAAGGGAGAAGGGAGCTTATCTGCAGCCTATATCCAGATAAGCAGGGATTAGCACCAGACAAACAAAGCAGAAAATAGTGCCCTAATGAAGGAAGGTCCAAGGAGAAAATCACAACCCCACCAACACTGACAGGGCAAGTTACTGTATATAAACAGAGAGCAAATCCCACACTCCCTCACACTGACGATGATACCTAGTTGGGTCATAAAACACCTGCAAGAAAATCACCAAACTTAGAGAGAACCAAGGACCCCATCCTCCTCCTCCTCCTCCTCCAAACCCCTCCTCCCTTCTAGCACTGATGATGTTCCCTAGTTGGGTCGTGAAACGCCTGCAAGAAAAACCCCAAGCTCAGAGAGCAGCAAGGACCCCACCGTTCAACCCTGAGCTGCAACTCTTGTCTTCTGTCAGAGTTAATTCTGTTTTTCATTTCTTCTCCAGGCAAGCTCCGCTCTTTCCTTTCCCAGGTGGGTAATTTCTTCTCCCAGCCTCACCAGAGATTGGCAGAGCTGCTGCAAGAGGCACCATGAATTACTCTAATCTCTGCTCCGTGTCTCCTATATCCCACCCTGCTTCTGGCGCTCCCAGGGCCTCTGCCCCCTTGCCAATACTGCCCGAGGGCGTCTCTTTCCTGGCGTAGAATCAGTGCCAGCTGTGGGGTAAGAGCAAGGGTCAGGCCTAGGCAAGCAGGGGAAGCATTTCCCTCCAAAAATAATACGTCCGTTTAAGCTGAACAGATGGCAGGGCAGGGAAAGGAGAGGTGGGGGGCAGTTGGGGGCCATCTGGAGAATACCACGATTCGCATTCAGATCTCCTACACGATAGAACTGCAATTGGCTGCAAAAGCAAGTGGCTAAAATTTTGCAGCCCCCATTAGTATGTGGGGCTGGTGGGGTGCAGGAGGACGGCGTGAAGCACCACCTTTAAAGCAGAGGTGTTCAAACGGGACCATTTTAAGAGATGTGGACTTCAACTCCCAGAATTCCCCAGCGAATAGGTGGGTGTGGCTAACACAGCGTTCTTGGCAGGGAGGGGGAAGGGAGACACGCACATCTAATGCAGGAGTCCCCAACCTTGGCAACTTTACGACTGGTGGACTTCAATTCCCAGAATTCCTCAGCTAGCTAGCAAGCTGAGGAATTCTGGGAATTGAAGTCCACCAGTCGTAAAGTTGCCAATGTTCGGGACCCCTGATCTAATGAATGTTGAGAGTTACAACACAGGCAGCCGTCACAGCCTCCCCACAGGAGGTGATCAGAATTCGGATGCTTGTCAACCAGCCTCTCTGGACAACGGTTGCAGCATCCAGGGGTCACATGATCACCGTTTCTGCCCTTCCGACAAGCAAAGCCAATGGGGGAAGCCAGATTCGCTTAGTGACCACAGCAGAGAAGTCATGAAATGGAGCACGACTCACTTAAGGTCTTAGCATCCAAAATTCTAGTCCCAATTCTGGTTGCAGGTTGCATATCTTCAAGGCTGAAGGTCAGAATTCTAGCAACCATCTCCTCCTCTTCCCCTTCCTTCCTTCTTTCCTCCTCCTTTCTTACTCTCTCCTTCCTTCCTTTGTTCCCTCCCTCCTTTCCTCCCCCAACTTTCTTTCCTTTCTTCCTCCCTTCTCCTCTTCCTTGCTTTCTTCCTTTCCTCCCCATTTTCATTCTTTCATTCCCTCACTCCTTCCTTTTTTTTCCCTTCCTTCCCTCCTCCCTCCCTTCCTCCTACTTCCCCTCCCCCTCCCCAAGATACCAGAGCTCCCAAGACATGCCTGGCACCTGGTCCAATCCTTTATGGATTTATCACAGTGCCCTCAGTTGGTGCCATCAGTCGGGCACAGTCAGGCACGATTGGCACAGCTCAGCTCCGGCTGCTCCTGTCCGTTGGCTCCACACGGCAAACTTCCTTTGCGCAACCCCTGGATTATGGCCACCCCACACGAAGCATCAGGTTACGGATGTACTGTGGCTTGCTTTCGGCTTCCATGGTGATTTGTGAATCATGGTTTATAGAGTCACTCTGGAACAGGGCGTGGTCAGAAAAATCAAGATGGCCGCAGCAGGTTCCCTGCAATGCCCACTTTTGCTTCAAAGGCCTCCTTGTCGCCCTCCTGCCACTTTTGTGGTGAGCCCCATCCCTTCCCTGGAGCGGGGCCATTCTCTGGGTCGCCCCCTCCCTCCCTTTGGCCAGAATCGCCTTCCCTAAAGTCAAAGGTGTCAACAGAGCTCCGGGGTCCTGGAGCACCCGGCCCAGCAGCCTCCTGGGCTCGGCCGCGTGCGAATCTCTGGCCGTGTGCCGTTGTGTTTCGCCAGCACAGCTGGGAAGACATGTGTGCACTGGAATTACACCAAGGCCTCCCTCCAGGCGCCGCCGCTGGACTTCTCCTTCCGAGGCATCAGCTTCATGCAAGGTACATCCCCCTGCCTGGCGCCGTTTTTATTCCTGGGTTTTGATATTGGATATTAAAAGATGCCACTGATGCATCTTCTGCAGACAGGGCCACACTTTCAAAGAAAATGATAGTACAGTGGTCTAAAGCACCCTGTTATTAAGACCAGCTGCCTGCAATTACTGCAGGTTCGAATCTCGCCAGGCTCAAGGTTGACTCAGCCTTCCATCCTTTCTAAGGTAGGTAAAATGAGGACCCAGTTTGTGGGGGCAATAAACTGACTTTGTATAAATATACAAAAAGGATGAAGGCTATTGCTGAGCACATTGTAAGCCGCCCTGAGTCTCCAGAGAAGGGCGGCATATAAATCAAATTAAAAAAAAATAAAAATCCATGTGCCACTGCTGGTCTAGCAGTTGAGGCAGCAGGCTAGAAACCAGGCGACCAGGAGTTCTAGCTCCACCTTAGCCATGAAAGCTGTCTGGGTGAGTTTGGGCCAATTACCAGGAGACCGGGAGTTCTAGTCCCGCCTTAGGCATGAAAGCCAGCTGGGAGAGTTTGAGCCAATCACCAGGGGATGGTGAGTTCTAGTTCCGCCTTTGCCGTGGGTGAGTTTGGGCCAGTCCCTCCCTCTCTCGGCCCACCTCTCAGGGTGGTTGTTGTGGGGAAAATAGGAGGAGGAAGGCATGTTGGAGATGTTTGCTGCCTTATTTGTAAAAATAATAAAGGTGAGATATAAATAAGTAAATAAAAATAAATTTTCCATTGCTGCTGGGCCAAAAGAGAAGATCCTTCTTCTGTGTCTCTCTTGAAATGAGTGATAAAACCAACCCAAAAATGCTTTTATTTTATTTTATTTTCCAAAGGCCACTGGACTTCCTTGTTTTTCTCTTTGAAAACGTTTCATTTCTCATCCAAAAACTTCAGAACTTCTCCAGAACTGAAGAAGCTTCTTGGATGGGAAATGAAACATTTTCAAGGAAGAAAAAAAAAAAAAACAACTTGAGAAAGTCCAGTTGCTTTTTGGGGAAAAACCGTGACCTGGATGGCTGAAAATCTCCATCGGCTTCTTGCCTAACAGCTTCCCAACAATGGGAAGGGCACTCTGCACATGCTCCAGAGCTGTGAGTCCTGTGCAGGTGGCATCAGCTGCCAGTCCGTGCCCAGTTGCTCTTGGCACAGCAGACGCCCTCCCTCTGCCCTCTCTGCTCCCCCCCAGACCTGCTGACGGAGGAGCCCCGTCCTGGGCCCAGGGCCATCCGGCGCTTGGAGGGGGGCCGCCTGCTGACCCAGGCCGTTCGGCTCAACAACAACACCCTGAACGACCTGACGGATTTCTCAGACATCATGGAGAAGCTGCTGGAGTATCCCCTGGACATCTACTGGATCGACCTCTCCTTCAATGACCTGCCCAACATCGACCCGGTACTCTAAGCCACCTCCCGGCCCTTTCGAAACTCTTGCCTATATATATATATATGTTTTCTGAGGTTTTCGCGGGTGTTTGTATGTAGGTCTTTGGTTATTCAGGTTTTCTCCCGCGTAAAATTGGAGGTGTCTTGGCAACGTTTCGACGAAGTCTCATTCGTCATCTTCAGGCTGGTGTTTTCGGCTTCGTGCTTCTAGGAGCAATGTGTGTGATCGCAGCTGTTTTTTCCTTTTGTTAAAAGGAAGAAACAGCTGCGATCACACACATTGCTCCTAGAAGCACGTAATAATATATAATGGGAACCAGAACCAGAATAGAGCTGGAAGGGACCTTGGAGGTCTTCTAGTCCAGCCCCCTACTCAAGCATCGAATAACTGGCTGTCTAGTCTCTTCTTAAAAACCTCCAGTGATGGAGCGCCCACGATTTCTGGTGGCAAGCTGTTCCACTGGTTAATTGTCCTCACTGTTAGGAAGTTTCTCCGTAATTTCCTAACAGTGTGGACAACAGTATATTATTATATGATAGCATGCTCTTATTTGTTTTAATATATATTATGGGGCAGCGCAGAGGCTCAGAGGTCAAGACGCTGGGATTGTCAGTTGGAAAGTCAGTAGCCTGAGTTCGAGACCCGAGTGCTGCATGATGGGGCGAGCTCTTGTTCCTGCCTCAGCGCCTGCCTACTTGGAAGTTAGAAAGCATGCAAATGCGAGTAGATGAATAGGTGCCACTTGGGTGGGAAAGTCACGGCGTTCTGTGTCGTCATGCTGGCCACTTGACCACAGAAACGTCGTTAGCGCTGGCTCAAAGGCCATGAAACGGAGAGGAGTATAACCTTCTACCCTCGACAACGACTAGTGGAATAAAATCCACAGGGACTCCTTTACCTTTTTTTTGTTTTATATGTGTGTGTGTGTGTATATATGTATATATATTCTTATATACATTATATTGTATATCTATCTACCTTGTTTCCCCAAAATAAGACCCTGTCTTATATTTTTTTTCAACCCTGAAATAAGCGCTTGGCCTTATTGCCACGCACTCAAAAGCCCGATTGGGCTTAGCATCAGGGGGTGTCTTATTTTGGGGGAAACAGGGTACATATTATGCTATATATTACTTTGTAATACAAGTAATCCTGAATTTACGACCACAACTGAGCCCTAAATGTCTGTTGTTATATGAGAGATTTGTTAAGTGAGTTTTCCCCATTTTATTGCCTTCCTTACCACAGCTGTTAAGTGAATCACTGCAGTTGGTAGGTTAGTAACTCTGTTGTTAAGTGAATCCGGCTTCCCTATGGCTTGTCAGAAGGTCACAAAGGGGATCACGTGACCCCAAGACACGGCAACCATCATGAGTCTGTGGCCAAGCGTCTGAAATCTAATCACGTGATCATGGGGATGCTCTACAAACGGTCGTAACTGTGAAAAACGGTCATAAGTCACATTTTTCAGTGCTGTTCTAATTGAAGAGTCACTAAGTGAAGTGTTGGAAGTTGAGGACAACCTGCGTATTATAAAGACAGAATTCTTTATTGGCCAAGTGTGTTTGGACACGCAAGGAATGTGTCATATTTATTACTCTACTAGCGGTACCCGGCCACGCGTTGCTGTGGCCCAGTCTGGTGCTTCCGCTGGGCTAAGAGAGCGAGGCTGAAGTTCCAAACTCTCCACGAACATTTGGTGGGCGTGGCCAACTCGACGTCACTCACTTTCATCAGTCACATGACAGCCCCCGAGCCACGCCTACCCAGCTGGTGATCAGGGCAGAGAACCGGTTGCTAAAAAACAATGGGAACCACAAAATCCGTCTCTGTCTCCCCTTCTCTTTGTATCTCTCTATGTCTCTCTCTCTCCCCCATCTGTATGTCTTCCCACCCTCTGTATCTCTCTCTGTGTCTCCTCCCGTCTGTATCTATGTCTCTCTCTCCCTGCTCTTTGTATCTCTCTGTCTCTCTCTCACCCTCTCACTCTGTATCTCTCTCTCTCCCCGTCTCTCTGTATCTCTATCTCTCTCTGCTCTCTCTGCTATCTATGTCTCTCTCCCACCCTCTCACTGTATCTCTCTCTCTCTCTGTATCTCTGTCTCTCCTCTCTCTGTATCTCTATCTCTCTCTCGCTCCTCTCTGCATCTATGTGTCTCTCTCTCCTCCCCCCTCTCTATCTCTCTGTCTCTCTCTCTCTCCCACCCTCTCTCTCTTTATCTCTGTATCTCTATGTCTGTTTGTCCCTCTCTCTGTTTATCTCTGTCTCTGGCCCGGCCTCTTCTGCGTCTCCCGCCATCACCCTTACCTTTTCAGGCCAGGCCTTCGCAGCTCTCTGCACCAGAGCAGAAACTGTGTCCTCCCTACACAGATGTTCTCTGGGGGCTTGATGGGGAGATGCATAGCAGGGAAGGGAAGGGAGGGAGGGGGTGCGGCGGGGGTTCGAGGCTGGTTTGGGGCTTCCCACCCGAAGGAAGAAAGCGGCAAAGCCAGGAGCCACGCACACCCCCCTGGACCCCTGCTGGGCAGTTCTCCTCCCCCGCTTGCCAAGAGCAGGGGAATGATTAAATCCCTCGCTCTTCCAGGTGAAACGAAGGAGGACCGGCCATCCTCCCTCCTGCCCGTTTCCGCTCCCCGGAGCCCCTTTTCTGCTAGAGGCCGAAATTTTCATGTAGGCTCCATGAACTGCCAGAGCGCCCACCTGGGAATCAAAGGCGACCCCGAGGCTCCAGTTGCCTCCATCTCCTGCTCACCGACCGGATTCACATAGCGCCGGTTAGCGGCTGGTCTTTCTGACCTCGGGGCCCATGGCAGCGCTGGGCCAGGCGCGATTCAGGCCAGGCGAGGGACGGAGGGTTCCCACTCAGCAGACCCAGGCAGCCTCATTGCCAGGTGTTCTTTGGAGGGAGCCCCAAGAGCGGCTGGCGAGGGGGATGGGCAGCAGCGGCAGGCGACGCTAGTTCGGTCAGAGCCAGGCTCGGGCTGGCCCCGCCCAGCCCTAGAAGCGCTGGCTGCGAGGGCTTCCCAGTGGGGAGCCGGCTGCCTACCTGCTGAGCCTGGTGACAGGATATGGCCCTCGGGCGTCTCTGCCTTCCAAATGCGCAGTTCCTTGGAAGCAATAGGGAGAGTCTAAATATAAGGAGCAGAAATCTGCTGAGCGTAATCAGGGCTGGGAGGCTGCCATGTTGGTTTTGCGTCCAGCAGATGGCGCTGTTTTTCAATGTTTGTCAATGTCTTTCAATGTTTTCCAGTGTTTTTCATGTTTTTACTGTCACAGGTGTGACATGTATATAATATAGGTATATAAAAACACGCCCGTAGTCGAATGCAACGTTGTGTCAAAATTTGAAAGCAATCGGTGAAGAACTTTTGGGGATGTGCGGTTATGTACAAACGGACATTTACATTTTTATTTATATAGATTATGATATCATAGTCTGATAATAACGTCTGTGTATTTTAACCCAGATATTGTAGCTGTAGCATTATTATATATCCTCCTTACGTTCTTTACTTCTCCCTTTTGGGATGATGATGATGACGATGATTCTGTTTCTTTGCCTATTATGAAAGTTTCTGTCCTGGAGACAAATTCTTTGTGTGTCTAATCACACACTTGGCCAATTAAAATACAGGAAGTCCTCGACTTACAATGGTTCATTTAGTGACCATTCAAAGTTACAACAGCACTGAAAAAAGTGACTTAGAACCGTTTTTCACACTTATGACCCTTGCAGCCTCCCTGTGGTCACGGGATCAAAATTCAGACGCTTGGCAACTGACTCGTATTTATGACGGTCGCAGTATCTCAGGGTCACGTGATCCCCTTCCGACAAGCAAAATCAGTGGGGAAGCCAGATTCACTTAACAACCGTGTTACCTAACTTGTCAACTGCATTGATTCACTTAACAACCATGGCAAGAAATGTCGTAAAATGGGGCAAAACTCACAAAACAAATCCTCACTGAACAACATAAACTTTGGGCTCGATTGTGGTCGCAAGTCGAGGACCTTCTGTATTCCGTTCAATTAAACATGGCTGGGTTTGTCCACAAAGCACAGGCAACAACCCACCCCAGAGGAGATGGGGGGGGGGGCAGAGGGAGACCGGATGGCCAGGATCCGTTTATGACGGTCATAAATACCACCCTTAATAGCCGGCGGGGGGGCAGGGGTAGAGTGTAGGGACGGGCCGACCAGCCTGGGAAACCGACCTGAAAGGCTTAAGGAGCCCTTCATGGGTGCTCAGAAAAGCCAGCAAGGAACAACCAAGCCGTAAAAAGAAAACTAAAGCCAATCCCCCCTCCTCCGTTATTTGTCCACTTCTTCCCAGGTGCTGACCACCTACTACAACCTCCGGAATCTGAACCTTCACGGGAACAGCATCCAGCATCTCTCCGAAGTGGACAAGCTGGCCGTCTTGCCTCACCTGCGCAACCTGACCCTGCACGGAAACCCCATCGAAGAGGAAAAGGGCTACAGGTGAGCGCTGGGAAGCTTTGGGAAGACCGGTTGGAAGGATTGGGAATGTTGGGTCTACCTAAGAGAAGCCCTAGGGATGACGTGATAGAGCCATCTTCCAAAATTTGAGGATGCTCCATCTCTGGAGGCTTTTAAGAAGAGACTGGACAGCCACCTGGGTGTGAAATATTATTTAGGGTCTCCTGCTTGAGCAGAGGGATGGACTAGAAGACCTCCAAGCTTCCTTCCAGCTTTATGCTGATTGATGGATTGATTGAGGGGCTGCCACTGAGAAGAGGAAGTCAACCAAGCACCAGAAATCAAGAAGAAACATTGGGTGGAAACTAATCAAGGAGAGATCCAATCTAGAATTAAGGGGAAATATCCTGACAGGGAAAATAATTAATTGGTGGAATGGAAAGTGCCTCCAGAAGTCTTGGGTGCTCCGTCATTGGAAGTTTTTAAGAAGAGATTGGGCAACCACTTGTCCAGAATGAACCAGGGTCTCCTGCTTGAGCAGAGGGATGGACTAGAAGACCTCTGAGGTCCCTTGCCACCCTCTTATTCTGGACTTGAAGCGGGTGTTCTCCAGACCCCAGAAACTTTGCACTAAAACACCTAAATTCCATTCTGGAATCTGCCCGGTGAGAAGCATGTCCCACACTTTCATTCTGCCTGCAAGTGGTTGATTTCAATGGATCAATACACCCCCCCTCGCTGGGAATCTTCCCGTGCTTCCTTTCGGGTTGGATCGACTCCAGTCCCCAATAGCAAAATGACAAGTTGTTTCCCCCGTGGAACTCTTCAGCCCATCTTCCTTGGAGGATTTCCTGATCCGCTTCGATCCTCTGCAGTAGATTCTGCAAGACAAGGACGCCACTTTAGATTGGTGGCACCGTCTTGAGTTTTTAGTAAATCTGGACAAATCGTTGCCAATCTTAGGTATGCAGAGAGCCTGGCCTTTCTCCCTGAGTCATGGAAAGAAACCACTCAAATTTCACAAGACTTGCAAGATGACAAGGTTACACAATGCCCTGCATAGACTCCGATTGGAGCGATTGACTCATCACATAAATTACAACGTCTCTACTACTCTGATTGAAATTCATCCTAAATAGCTTAGGAGAACCTGAATTATTCCCCAGTTCAATTATCCATTGGTGCTCCTGCCCCGCCCATTCTCTTCTGCCATCCCTGGTCTCCAAGATCCATCAACTCTAAGGATTGAGCTGGTTCCAGGCCATGCAGGAAGACCAACTGGGTGGGCCAGCTTCTTCAACTTCTTCTTGGACCTCTGCCAACCCACTGATCTTTCATCTCTTTTGTGAGGAGGAGGAAACACGCCTCTTAGCTTGTGGTTGGAAGGGTCCTGTAGCTGGAAGGATTCCTCGAGACAGGCAGAGTTGGAAGGGGCCTTGAAGGTCTTCTAGTCCCATTCCAGACAGGTGGCTGTCCAGTCGCTTCTTAAGAAGTGTCCAGTGATGGAGCACCTGCAACTTCTGGAGGCAAACTCATCCATCCGTCCATCCTCTATCTTATCTGTCTGTCATATCTTTCTTATCTTTCTACCTCCTAGCATCCCAGGGCTGGAAGGGAGATCTTCTAGTCCAGCCCCTGTCCAAGGTATGCCCCTCCCCCGAGACATTTCCCCATAAAGTCCATCCTAGAACATGGAATAACCCAGTTGGAAGGGACCTTGGAGGTCTTCTGCTCCAACCCGCCCCAGCTCAAGCAGGTGACCTTATAACATTCTAGACAAAAGGCTGCCCAGTCTCTTCTTAAAAACCTCCAGTGATGGAGCACCCACAACTTCTGGAGGCCAGTAGTTCCACTGGTTAATTTTTCTGCCAACTGACCTGGATCCCATCTGGAAGAGAGACCTTCAAAGGATGTCTAAGGATGCGTTTCTTCCTACATAAATGCAGCCTCTGCTCTTCATAGGAGGCTGTGGCTAGTAGCCAAACAGAGAGGATGAAGGGGGATGCAGCCCTATAGAGGAATGCTCACAAGGTCTGGGGACAGCTAGCCTAAGAACCAATGAGAATGGAGCTGGAAGGGACCTTGGAGGTCTTCTAATCCAGCCCCCACTCAAGTGGGAGAACCCCACAGCACTTCGGATAGGTGGCTGTCCGGTCTTTTTCTTAGCAGGTTATCTACAGGTAGCCCTCAACGTACGATCACAATTGAGCCCAAAATTTCTGTTGCTAAGTGAGACCATTGTTAATTTTGCCCCATTTTACGGCCTCTCTTGCCACAATTTGTTCGGAAACGCTGCTGCTGTTGTTAAGTTAGCAATGTGGTTGTTAAGTGAATCTGGCTTCCCCCACTGACCTTGCTAGTCAGAAGGTTGCAGAAGGGGACACCGCAACCGTCATAAGTATGAACTGGTTTGCCAAGCGTCTGAATTCACCACAGGGATGCAGCAACGGTTGTGTGAGAAACAGCCCTAAGTCACTTTTTCAGTGCCGTCGTTAACTTCCAAGCGGTCACTAAATGAACTGTTTTAAGTCAAGAACTACCTGCATTTGGTTATCCCTTTTACTGCCTCTCCCCCCCCACCCAAGAAGGGACAGCAGCCCTCCCCACCTTTGGCACCCTTAAATGGGCAGCACTCGAGGGCTCCCCGGACTTTCTAGGGCCCTCCCCACGTAGCCAGGGACTGACCGCTTCCCTCTGGGCCCCCTTCCTTCTCCTAGGAGCTACGTCCTGTCCACCTTGCCCCAGCTGAAGTCCTTCGATTTTAGCGGCGTCACCAAACTGGACCGCAGCACCGCAACCGTCTGGAGGCGCATGAACATCAAGCCGAAAGTGATCCGGAAGAAACGGGAACGCTACTGATGGACAACCGCCTTCCTGAGGAATAAAGCTTTAGAGTAGCTTCACCTGGTGAATTGCAAGGGGGGGGCACGAGAGCCAGGGGTGCACAGATGTTGGGGGAGGTGTCGAGAGGAGACGGGGCGAGAGCCTTGGCTGCTTCTTCCAGAATACAGGTGGGCAGTGAAAGGGCCTCTCCAACCTGTCACCCAGACATGGTGAGCCATCCCTACCACAGCTCCTTCCCATGGCTTTGGCAACCCCGTACATCCACAGAGATGTTTCTGTGCAAAAGGAAATGTTCTCCATTCCAAATGGGTGTTTTTTTTTAGTCAGCTGCGAATGAAGAGTGGGAAATGTTTCATAGGCCATAGAATAACAGAGCTGGAGGTGACCCTGAAGGTCATCTAGTCCACCCTCCCTGTTCGAGCAAAAATCTCTCTTATCATTTCAGACAAACGGTTGTTCAGTCTCTCCTTAAAAGCCTCCAGTGATGGGGCACCCACAACATCTGAAGGCAAGGCGTTCCAATGGTTGATTGCTCTGTTAGGAAGCTTCTCCTTAGTTGTATCTTAGATATAACATCAGTCACTTTTTTTCACTGTTGTAACTGGTCAAGGATAAAGTAGGCAAAAAAAGACATACCAATAGAAGGGAATTTCTGTAGCTCAGGGTTGAACTGTGGGGTCCTTGGTGCTCTCTGAGCTCTGTGGTTTTCTGGCAGGGGTTTCAGGACCCAACCCAACATATAAATTTAATAAAAATTAAATAAATAAAATAAACTAGGGAACATCATCAGTGCTGGAAGGAAGGAAGGTTTGCGGAGGAGGACTGTGGAGTCCCTGATGCTCTCAGAGCCTGGTGATTTTTGTGCAGACTTTTCATGACCCAGCTAGAGAACATCTTCAATGCTAAAGGGCGTATAAGGGCTAATAAGCTAGAAGCTCAGAGAGCACCAAGGACCCCCAGAGACCCACCAGTGCTGTAGAACGGGAAAACAAACGGCAAGAGACTTCTGACACTACCGTCATGCTGTATCTGTAAGCCAGAAGCCTCCCCTTCTTCCCAAGCCTCCCATTAGAGAAGACCAACCCCACTTGAGGGGGACAGGTGCTCAGGCTGGATGGCCTCAAGGCACCCATCAGTGAAGGTCGATTCGGCCCCCTGCCTCCCTCTTGCTTCAGCCCTGCCTGTCATGGGGCCCAAGCAGACCAGGCAGAAAACGCAGGGCCCCCCACCCCCTCTTCCCTCCAGGCAAGACCCCACAGGTTCTTCTGGAGCTGTGCTCTGCCTGCAATTTCCCCTGTACGCTGCACTTGATGGCGCAGGTCAGTGGTTCTCAACCTTTCCTTCACCAGGGACCCCCCCTTTAAATACCTTCTGTAGCCATGGAGCCCCAAGGCTGAAATCAAGATTGAAAGCACAACATTTCTTCCAGCCTTGGCGGGCCCCTTGTGACCTTGCGGGCCCCCAGGGGCCAGTGAGCCACAGATTGAGAAGCCACTGGCATAGATGATTGTTTCTGCTTGACCCCATCACATCAGTTAGCCCTTGACTAACTACCCCAATGGAGCCCAAAATTTTTGTTGCTAAGTGACCCACAACGTCTGAAGGAAAGCCATTCCATTGCTTAATTGTTCCATCAGAAAATTCCCTCTTAATTCTAGGTTGGATCTCTCTTTGTTAAGCTTCCGTCTGTTATTCCTTCTCCTGTTTGGAGAAGAGGTTGATCCCCTCTTCTTTGGGGCAAATATTGGAAGATGCTGTCATGTCTCCCCTGGTCCTTCTCTTCGCTAGACTAGACCTCCCCAATTCCTGGAAGAGTTCTTCGTACGTTTTAGCCTCCAGTCCCCTAATGCTCTTGGTTGCTCTTCTCTGCACTCTTTCGAGAGTCCCAACAACTTTCTTTGTGCCGTGGTGACCAAAACTGTTCCAAGGGAGGCCTCACCATAAAGAATAAAACGGTAGCTCCGTCTTTCCGCCTCCAGTCAAATAAAGAGCAGGCCTTTGCTCGGATGAATATATTTATACTTTTCTTAACCTACTTTAGCAAAACCAACAAAAAAAAAATTAAAATGACAGCTCAGCGAGGTAAAAGAGGGGAGGGGTACAGACCAAGAAGGATGCTAAGATCAAAAGGCTTCGCTTCCGTGGTTGTGTTGCTTTCCCCCCCCTTAAAAAGCTCTAATTCACCAGTGCTGCTTCCCTGCTCTAAAACATCCAAAGATCAGGTGATGAAAGGGAACGATCCAGCTCAGCCAGAGGGGGGGGGGGGGAGAACAAGAGGGGCCCCCTCTGGCTTGCTTGTCCGCCACCATCCCATCTTCTCCTGCACAAATTCAAAATCCCAGAGCCACAACCACAAAGGTAAATGAAGCCCACCGACGGCCCCCCCCTCCTCCCCCGGCGTGAGTCCCGGAGTCACCTTCCTCCTCGCGGCTGAGCCGAGCGAGCGCTCTCTGCCTCCTGGCCCAGGCCGACCGGGCACTGCCTTGCCAAGCCAGGGAGAAGAGGAGGAGGGCGCCAAGTGATGGGTCTCGTCAGCCTCGGCTGTCCACACGTTAGTGTCCCTGTGGCCAGATAACAGATCCAGTGTCTCTTCTTGTGCACGAGGTCCACTGCGGTGTCGATCCAGTGGTGGGGAGGAGAGAAATTAAAAGTGGAGGAGGGAAACCCAACTCGGGCGAGAGGATGGGCATCAGGGGATCCCAAACTGCACCACCAGTTCTTCTTTCGCATCCACGCGGATCTGGGAGAGGGCACTGAAGGCATAGGCAGCTATCCGGGAGACCTAGAGGAAGGGGGCACAGACGTGAGATGAGGGGAAGGGGGAGGCTTTCGGGAGAAGCTTCTACCCATCCCCACCCCCCTAGCCATGGAGGAGAGACTTCTGCCAGGATGCTGGCACTCCTGTGGGGTCTTTGGTGCTCTTGGAGCTTGGCTGCTTTCTTAGAGACGTTTCATGACCCAACTAGGTAACATCATCAGTGCTACAAGGAAGGGGGAGGGTTTCTCTCTGCTTATATATAGTAACTAGCCCTGTCCCTGTTAGCCCAATCAAGGAACTAGCAACTCGAACTGTAAGTGGCACCCTAAGAGCCACGGTGGCCCAGTGGTTAGGGTGCAGCATTGCAGGCTGACTCTGCCCAGAGTCAGGAATTCGATCCTCACTGGCTGAAGGTTGACTCAGCCTTCCGTCCTTCCCAGGTCGGTAAAATGAGGAGCCAGATGGTTGGGGGCAAGAGGCTGACTCTATAAACCGCTTAGAGAGGGCTGGAAAGCACTGTGAAGCTATATATAAGTCTAAACGCTATTGCTACTCCTAATCAAAGAACTAAGGACAGTCCCATTAAAACAGGCTGGGTGACTTGGGCCAACCACCAGGAGACGAGGAGTTCTAGTCCTGCTTTAGTCCACTGGGTGACCTTGGGCCAATCATCAAGAGATGGAGATTTCTAGTCCCATTTTAGGTAACACCTAATAAAAGCCAGGTGGGTGACTTTGGGCCATTCATTCCCTCTCAGCCCAACCCACCTCCCAGGGCCGTTGTGGAGAAAGGAATATTACAGTATATACTTGAATATAAGCCGCGTTTTTCAGCACATTTTTTATGCTGAAAAAGCCCCCCTCGTCTTATACTCAAGTGAGGAAAAAAAATGCCTTTAAAAGCCTCTGGCGATCCCAGCTGAGTTGCCTGATGGTCAGAGGCTTCTAAAAGAAGCACTTACAGAGCTAGTTTACTGTTTTTCCTTGAAATAAATATTCAAAAACATTTAACCTACTGATGCCTCAATTAATGTAATTCTATTGGTATCTATTTTTATTTTGAAATTTACCAGTAGCTGCTGCATTTCCCACCCTAGGCTTATACTCGAGTCAATAAGTTTTCCCAGTTTTTTGTGGTAAAATTAGGCCTCGGCTTATGTTCGGGTCAGCTTATACTCGAGTATATACGGATATGTATGTTCACCACCTTCAGTTACTTTTAAAATAAAAGTGGATAAAAAAATACATAATATGCAGATGGCAGACCAGCTCCTGCAGCTGAAAGTCCAAGAGCCCTGGGGAACAGAGGGTGGGGGGTTAGGGTGCCTTGCCAGGCTGGCTGGGGCACATGGGAGCTGTTGGATGCTCCTGCTTCTGAGAGGAAAGCCAAAGGGAGCCCCTCTGCGTCACAGAAGGGGAGACGGACGCCGTGGCTTAATTCCGCCAGCCGAGCCACCTACCTGTTGCAGGTCTGCGAAGGGCACGGGGTCACTGGCGAGGACTTGGTGCGGCTGGTTGGTCAGCGAGGGCAGCAGAGGGAGCTTCTTCCAGTGCGTGAGGCTGCTGCTCAGCACGGCCAGCCGGGTGCTGGGGGGTGGGGGGAGAAGGGGGAGAGAGGGATGGAGTGAGACAGAGGGGTGACCAGGGGCAGCCCCAGAAGGCCCACAGGATGCGTACAATACTCCACTTACAACCAGCGGCTGAACTGAACCAAATCATCGGACGATTCTGACCTGCACCCCCTCCCCAACACGGCTGGTGCCCGTTTCATCTTAAGGGCCATCGGGAATTTCAGTCTCCAGGACTGAATATGCTAGACAACCAGTTTAAGTACAGGCAGCCCTCGAGTTAGGACCACAATGGCGCCCCAAATTCATGCTGCTAAGTGAAACATTTGCTAAGTGAGTTTGTCCCATTTTACCCCCCTTCTTGCCACAATTGTTCAGTGAATCACTGCAGTTGCTAACAACGTGGTTGTTAAGTGAATCTGGCTTCCCCACTGCTGGTCAGGTGGTCGCAAAATAGGATCACGTGACCCCGGGGCACTGTGGCCGTCATAAATATGAGCCCGTTGCCAAGTGTCTGAATTTGTCACGTGACCCTGGGGAGGCTGGAACCGAGTTTCTCTGTGTGTGAGAAACAATCCTAACAATCCTAAGGGTGAGAAACAGTCACAAGTCACTTTTTTGTGCCGTTGTAACTCTGAACGGTCACTAAATGAACTGTCGTAAGACAAGGTGTGAAACCGACCTGTAGGCCCTAAAGGAAGGTGTGGCTGAGAGTGATTTTGCAAGAACGGAACCAGAAACTGAGTCGGACGCAGCAGCTCCCCCAGAGAGGGAGCTCGGACCCTCCCAAGCCCCCTCCCCAATCTCTGGAGGGTGGTCTGCTCCCCCCCCATCTGTGATTGACAGGCAACAACTGCCTGGCTTGGCTTGTGTGAATGCTCTGTTAGAGAACAGATCTACAGGCAGTCCCTGACTTACAACCACAAATGGCAGCAGCTGCTTCCGTTGCTAAGCAAGGTGGTTAAGTGACAAGACATTAATTTTAACACACACACACACCGGTTAAGCAGATCACTGCAGTTGTGTTAAGTGAAACTGGCTTTGCCCCCGTTGACTTTGAAGGTGGCTGGGAAGGAGCCCGGCAGGCTGCAACCATTGTTAGTACATGCCACCTGAGAATGGGGAGCCTGCGATGGTCATTTTAGGGATTTTGTGTGTAACTTTTAACCCAGAGTTTTTGTTTTATTTTTCTGCTTTATTGTTGTGAGCCGCCCTGAGTCCTCTCGGAGAAAGGGTGGCATATAAGTCTAAACAAATAAATAAATAAGGGTGAAGACCAGTTGTAAGTCACTTTTTCAGCGCCGTTGTAAAATGTGCACAGGTAGTAGGAAGTCGAGGGCTCCTTACAATTGCAATCTCACGGCAAGGCTGCCTAAGAGAGGTTAAGGAAACCCACCCCCCAGCAGGGCCAGTCTTCCCCCCCCCCACTGCCCAGGGCCCCCGTACCTGTACTGCCGCGCTCGGTCCATGTACTCGTGCTGCTCCATCTGCTGCTGATCTGCAGCTGAAACATCAATGATGTTGCTGGAAAAAGGCAGAAGAGCCTAGGGGTTAGAGAAAGCCTCTCTCCACCTGCCTCACTCAGGATCACACAAACCATCCTGGGGTGGGGGTGGGGGTGGGGGGTTCTGGAGCAGTCAGCCCTTGGCCCCAAGCCAAAACCGTGGCCAGAAGCAGGCCAATACTCAGGGCTGGGTAAGGGCTACCTGGGGAAGGTGGGCCTGGAGGGGCCAAGAGTCCGAGGCTTTCAGCGAGGGATGGTATCTTCCACGACCCAAGGCCTTGGCACACTCGGAGCCTCAAAACCTGGCTCTGCCAACTGGCCTGGGGACGTTCCGTGGCAGAAGAGGGTGGATAGTGGACCAGGAAGAAGATCCCACTTCCACCCTGTAGTACTCCAGTCCTTAACTTAATTTCTGTTTATTAAAGCTCTAATGCTTCCACTTCTGTTCGTATGAGATTTCTAAGCCTCCCAGAGTCGCTTGGCAGTGTGGTGGGTGCCAGGTAGATTTAATAAATGAAAACAACAAAAGAGGGGATGAAGGAAAAACAACGTTCTGAATATTATTTTGGCATTGACAAAATCTCCATCAGCCGACATCCCGTGACGATACCTGTAACGGCGTCAAACATCCACACCTGCCTCTTCCAGGTCCTTGGGAAGGACTCGCGAGGCGGATAAAAATGCCAAACCCAGCCTGATCATCTAGCTGACTAGGCAATGAATGATAGTAACAGAAAGGATTGAGGAAAAAAGGACGAGTTGAATAGGACAACCAGCACCCAGAGGTACCCCTGGAAATTAATTCCATTCACCTGGGTCCCCCAGAATAAGCAGCCCCCCCAAAAGAGCTGCTTAATTTAACTAACCCCTCATCCTTTTAATATTTTTTCAATGTTTTTATACCTATGCTTTTCTTCTTTTGAAGCTGCCTAGAGTCACTCGGGAGAGTGAGACGGACGGCATGTAAATTTAATCAATAAAAATCAATAAACACTTAGGCCACCCCCAGGTACCCCACGTGCCCCAGACCAAAGACTTACATGGCTGTCTTAGCCAGGATGGAGGAGAGCAGCGCCTGCTCGTCCGTCCGGGCTGAAGGCAGAGTGCAGCAGGGTTCCATCCCATTCATGGACTTGTTGGGTGGGCTGGAGGCTGGGGGCAGCAGGGGCTTGGACTCCTCCCCCTGCAAATGAGAGAACGAGGAGGAGGAAGTCAGTCTGGGGAGGAGCAAACAGAACCCGGCAGACGTTCCCAAATCCCTCCTGGACTGGGTCAGAAAGACAGGCTTCTCGATAGAAGAGAATATTTGTAGCTGGAGGTTGAAATGAGGGGTTCTTGGGGCTCTCTGAGCTTGCTGGGTTTTCTGCAGACATTTCATGACCCAACTGGGGAACCTCATCAGGGCTAGAAGGGAAAGGGGTTTGCAGAGAGGAGAAGGGAAGACGGAGAGGGACTGTGGGGTTCTTGGGGCTCTCTGAGCTTGCTGGGGAACCGCATCAGGGCTAGAAGGGAGTGGGGGGATTTGCTTCCTTGCCTGTCTGTGGGTGGGGCAATCGAGGAACTACCAACTCAGGCAAAGAAACCATAAACAGCCTAAAGAAGGAACCGCCATGACCACTTCCATCCACACTGACAGAGCAAGCCACTAGGCAAGCAAACCCCTCTCCTTTCTAGCACTGGTGAGATCACCTAGTTGGGTCATGAAACGTCTGAAGGAAAAGCCCCCAGCTCAGAGGGCGCCAAGGGCACCCCAGAGGCAGACATCTCCACCTTCTTTCTGGTCATCAGAGCTGCCTTCCTCCCTCTGCCAACTTCCCTTAAGGGACGGAACAATCTTTCCCACCGGCTGCTGCATTTCACGTGACCACAAAGGAGCCATTTGCTCTCCGCCGCAGCTGGGAGGCACCGCCGACAAGCCTGATGCTGCCAGTCACCTCCTAGCCCACGCCGGCTATTTCGGTTATTCGCCAACGGGAACTTTGCCATCTCTGGAACTCTCCGATATTTTTACAAGCAGGGAAAACAGCTCTGCTCCAGAGCGTCTGTCTTGGCTCTGGGACTCTCCTCGGCCTTACAACTTACAACCTCAATTGAACCCAACATTTCCGTTGCCAAGGAAGACAGTTAAATCAGTTTTGCCCCATCTGGTGACCTTTCTTGCCACCGTTGTTAAATGAACCAGTGCAGAATCTGGCTTCCCCATTGACTTTGTTAGATTGCAAAAGGAGACCTCGGAACACCACGACTGTCATGAATAGGTGTGTTACTAAGCACCTGAATTTTGATCACATGACCTTCATTACCCTACTAACAACAATAAATATGGATCACATCTTGTGACCTTCTGACAAGCCAAGTCAGAGGGAAGCCAGATTCACTCAACCATCATGTTACTAATTTAGCAACTGCCACGATTCAATTAACAACTGGAGAAAGGAAGGTTGTAAAATGAGGCCATTTATTTTAGCATTTTACTGGCTGCCCATCTTACCACAGGGTAACTCTGGGCGGCTTAAGCAACTGCCTCACTTAGCAATGGAAATGTTGGGCTCCATTGTGGTCGCAAGTGAAGGACTGCCTGCACTTCTGATCAGAGGCGTAAGGCAGAAGAATCAGCAACCTCCCAACTGGAAGGAAGCTTTCAAATCACCTCCAAAAAACCAGCTCAGCCATTAACTGTTATCATGCCTTTACTGTCCTGTGCACAATTTTTAATGGGCGAACAATTCAGACATTTTTAAAATTATGGGCTGTTGGCCGGAGCTCTGAGCTTGGCAATTTGGTTGCAAATGTGTCATTTTTAAAATTATACTTTTATCCCACCTTTTTATACATAATTCAAGCAGCAAACCTCTTGCCTCTTGTTCCTACAACAATGAGGTAGGTTGAGCTCACAGAGAGTGACTGCTCCAAAGTCGCCCAGCTGGCTTTCACTCTGAACCAGTCTAGAGCTAATTTAGCTTAGTGGTTAAGGCAGCAGACTCTGAGTTCTAGTTCCGCCTTATGCATGAAAGGAGGCTGGGTGACTTTGGGCCGATCACCAGGAGACGGTGAGTTCTAGTCCTGCCTTTGGCAGGAAAGCCACTTGGGTGGCTTTGGGCCAGCCACTCTCAGCCCAACCCACCTCACAGGATTGTTGTTGCAGGGGAAAAGAAGAAGAATGACTCAAATATATTTGCGCCTTTAGTTATTTATAACAATAATAAAGGCAGGATATCAATAAATATAAACAAACAAACCTGGGCTCTGTAAAATAAAGGGAGAGAACCAGTTGTGTAGTAGGGGGTAAGGCATCAGGCTAGAGAAACTGGGGGGCTGCGAGTTCTAGTTCTGCCTCGGACAGAAAACTACCTGAGTGACTTTCAACCATTCACTCTTTCATCCCAGGAGGGAGGCAATGACAAAGCCACCCCCAAAACCGGCTGCCAAGAAACTTGCAGGGATTCCTCCAGGCAATCACCAGGATTCAAATTGAAGGCAGCCAGTTTGCAGCCGTGACTAAAGGCCCCAGGTTTCGAACAGGAAGAGTGGCCTTTCTGGCCCTCCCTTAGGCAGGGAAGCCGGCTGGGTGGCTTTGGGGCAGCCCTTCCCCTCCTTCCCTCCCTCCCTCGCCAGGAGGAGGAGCAAAACCACCAATCCAGAAATGTTGCCAAGAAAACTGCAGGCACAACAAATAAATAGGAGAGAATGTGTGTAGCTCAGGGCTGAACTGTGGGGTCCTTGGTGCTCTCTGAGCTGCATGGCTTTCTCACAGACATTTTCTGACCCAACGAGGTAACATCATCAGAGGTCATATGAAACACCCAGATAAGCCAGGATTGACATCAGACAAACAATTAAGCCAAAAACAATACCCGTCAAGGAACTAGCAAGGGGAAAGCCACGCTTCCACCAACACTGGCAGGGCAAACGGTTTATATATATAACCAGAGAACAAACCTCACCCCCTTCTAGCACTGATGTTATTACCCAGTTGGGTCATGAAACGTCTGCAAGAAAACCAGCAAGGACCCCACAGTTCTCCCCCTCCTCTTTTTTCTCTTTCTCCTCCACTCTGCAATGCCTCCTTCCTCCCAGCCTTGATGCTGTTCCCTACTTGGGTTATAAAATGTCTGCAAGGAAACAACCAAGATCCTCCCATCCTCCAATCCCACTTCCTCCCAGCACTGACGCTGTTCCCTAGCTGGGTCATGAAGCGTCTGCAAAGAAACCACCAATCCTCCTCCTCCTCCTCTTTTTTCTCTTTCTTTTTCCCCTTCTTCCTCCTCCTCCTCCACTCTGCAATGCCTCCTTCCTCCCAGCACTGACGCTGTTCCCTAGCTGGGTCATGAAACGTCTGCAAGCAAAGCAGGCAGCTCAGAGGCCAGAGGGGACCCCAACGAAAGACCCCCGAGCCCCCCTCCTGCAGCTGCGTCACCCGCCGAGCCGCCCCCTCCCCCAGCGCTGCCGCCCACCTCCACAGGGAGCCCTAGGAGGGGGGATCCCCACATCCCCAGGGGCCCCCAGACCCAGGGAGCCCCCCCCATAAGAGCAGGGGGGAAAGAGGGGGGGGGAGACCGGGCGGCCTGGCTTTGTGCTGTGGGGGCCGGGGGGAGTTGGGGGGGGTCTTCCCTTCGCCCCCCCCGCAGGCACCGCCTGCCTCGACCCCGCCTCCCTCCGCGGCGCCCACTCCCCCGGCACGTGAGGGGGGGCGGGGAGCTCACTAGGCCGCGAAGCCCCCAGACCCGCCGGAGGGGACCCGGCCTCCTCCTCCTCCTCTCCTCCCCCCGGGCGGGGCCGAGACCTGGTCGGAGGCTTCGTTCTCGCTGCTGTAGCAGCAGCCCATGGCGGCGGCGGCGGCGGGAGGGGGCCGTCCGCGGCTCTGCTGCTTTCGCTGCTGCTGCTGCTGCTGCGCCTCCTCCTCCTCCGGCCGAGGGGACGGCAGACCCTGTCGAGCCCCCTCAGCTCTCGCCTCGCCTCCTTCCGGCTTCCGGTCACGCGGCGGGGACTTCCGGGGAACTGGGGTGGGGCGGCGGCACGAGACGAAAGGGGCGGGGCTCCCCCTGGAGTCACGTGACCCTCGCCGCGGCCGGATTTCCCCTAGCTCCGCCCCGCCTGGCAGCCGGTACTGCGCCTGCGCTAGTTTGAAATTATCTATTTCTCTATCGTCTCTCTCTGAATGTCTTCTATTTTCTCTCTCTCTCTTTCTATGTATCTATATCTAATATATCTCTCCATCTATGCATACATGAGCCATATATACATGATACATATATACATTGATGTGGGTGAAGGAGGAGAGTGCCAAAATTGGCTTGAAACTCAACCTTAAGAAAGCTAAGATCATGGCATCCGGCCCTCTCAATTCCTGGCAAGTAGATGGGGAAGACATGGAGGCAGTGATGGATTTTATTTTCCTGGGCTCCAAGATCACCACAGGCGGGGACTTCTTCTTCTTCTTCTTCTTCTTGTGCCATATCCGTCATCGGACGTTGGCCATCATGTTGGCAATCCTATTTTTGTCAACAGCCGTATAAAAAAGACGGGGACGGCAGCCAAGAAATGAAAAGACACTTGATCCTGGGGAGGAAAGCCATGGCAAATCTAGACAGCGTACTAAAAAGCAGAGACATCACCCTGCCAACAAAAACGCATATAGTCAAGGCTCTGGTTTTCCCAGTCGCAGTGGATGGCTGTGAAAGTTGGACCATAAGGAAGGCTGAGAAGGCCAAAGAATGGAGGCCTTTGAACTCTGGTGCTGGAGGAGACTCTGGCAAGGCCATCCAACCGGTCAGTCCTAGAGGAGATCAACCCTGACTGCTCTTTAGAAGGCCAGATCCTGAAGAGGAAACTCAAATACTTTAGCCACCTAAGGAGAAGGAAGGACTCCCTGGAGAAGAGACTAATGCTGGGAAAGATTGAGGGCAACCTTGCTTTTCCAAAGTTTAGAAAAGGTGACCTCAGAACACTGCGGCCGTCATAAATACAGTATGAGTCGCTTGCCAAGCATCCAAATTTTGAGCATGTGACCATGGGGGTGCTCTAATGGTCATAAGTGTGAAAAAAGGCCATAACTCACTTTTTTCAGTGCCGTTGTAACTTTGAATGGTCACTAAATGAACTGTTGTAAGTCAAGGACTACCTGTACTGGACCTCATTTTCAGATGTGAGGGCTTCAACTCCCAGAACTTCCTGGCCGGCCATACTGTTCAAATTAAAGATATGTGGACTTCAACTCCCAGAATTCCCTAGGTGGCATGCCGGCTGGGGAATTCTGGGAGTTGAAGTCCACATATCTGAAAGTATTGGAATTGTAGAAACATTGGATTATTTTAATCCGGTTAAGCTAGGATAGCTCCCTGGCAGCAAACAGCAGCCACACATCCTCCCATTCAATAGCAAGCTGGAAGTTGAAGTCCACACAGCTGAAAATGGCCAAGTTGCAAAAAAACCCTGATGTAATCCCTTAAAGGAAAGGAGAAGGCGGGTTTGGCCATCATCAAACAACGGAGCCTGAAAAAAGCTCCCAAGGGAGAAAATCATAACTTAGTTTGCAGATTGCCAGAGAGCCTGGATTCCCCCTGCAGACTGTGCTACTGGAAGCTCTAATGCCCCTTCCCAGCATGCAAGGCAGACCAGTGGTGAAATCCAATTTTTTTTACTACCAGTTCTGTGGGCGTGGCTTGGTGGGCATGGTGTGGCTTGGTGGGCGTGGCTTGGTGGGTGTGGCAGGGGAGGATACTGCAAAATCCCCATTCCCTCCCCACTCCTGGGAGAACGATATTGCGAAATCTCCATTCCCACCCCACTCCAGGGGAAGGATACTCCAAAATCTCCATTCCCACCCCACTCTGGGACCAGCCAGAGGTGGTATTTGCCGGTTCTTCGAACTACTCAAAATTTCCACTACCGGATCTCCGAACTCGGTTATCCATAACCTGTCAGAACCTGCTGGATGTCACCTCTAACGCAACCAAGGCTGAGATCTTGGTTTCAAAAGTTGACACTAACCAAGTCACCACAGTGAGACTCTCTGGATCCCCTCTTAAGTGGCTTCCTTAAAAGCTGAGCATCTCCTGCTCCGCCTCTCTCTCCCCCACCCACAGCCTCCTTCTCTTGCCTATACAGAGAGTCCTCAGCTTCTGACCACAATTGAGTCCAAAATTTCCAAGTAAGACAGTTGTTAAGTGAGCGTGGCCCCATATTGCGACCTTTTCTTGCCATGGCTGTTAAGTGAATCATTGCAGTTAAGTCAGTCGTGGTCATTGAGCAAATCTGGTTTCCTCCCTTGACTTTGTTGTCGGAAGGTTACAAATTGTGATCACGTGACCTGGGACAGTGCAACCCTAAAAAATGCAGGTAGTCCTTGATTTACAACCAGAACTGAGGCCAAAATGTTCATTGTTAAGCAAGAGAGTTGTTAAGTGAGCTTGGCCCTATTTTATGATCTTTCTTACCACACTTGTTAAGTGAATCATTGCAGTGATTTAAGTTAGAGGCAGGGTCGTTAAGTGAATCTGGCTTCCCTGTTGACTTTGCTTGTCAGAAGGTCAGCAAAGGGGATCACATGACCCCAGGACCCTGCAACTGTCATAAGTACATGTCAGTTGCCAAGCCTCTGAATTTAGATCATGTGACCGTGGGGATGCTGAAATGGTCATGTACTAAGAAAAATCCGGTCTGGTTCCAATCCAGGAGAACTGGAAATAAAATGGAGGCTGATTGGAAAGAAGGACTTGTTTATCGATGAGCAGAACCAAAAGCAGCATGCAGTTCTGGGGCAGCTGATAAATTGTTTTAATGATTTTTTATAGGCTTCTGAGATGCTGCAGGGGATTGTGCAAAGTCTGAAATACTCCTAGGAGGATGTGCAATGTAGTGAGCCTGGTGTATGTTGCTATTCTAAAGCTGGTGGGTTAATCCTATTGTCCTAAAGGTCATGTCCTGTTCTTAGAATTTGGGGGTAGGTGGGTGTAAATTTTAATCCCATCATTTGGAGCTGGAGGTGTTTTGTTTGTGAATGGATTGGCCCAGGGTTTCTTAATGGGCACAAAATCTCCGCCTCTAAAGACTTTGGGCATCTGCTGGAGGCTATTGAGGCTTTCTGCCTTTAAGAACATGTTTCTCTATTTCTCCTTTGGGGAAATATAATAGTCTGCCTCTTTTAATATTCCTCAAAATATTTCATTCTCTGGGGGGGGGGCATGATTACTTCTAAGTGTAAAAAGCAGTTATAAGTCACTTTTGTTTAGTGCCGTAATTTTGAACAGTCACTAAACAAATGGTTGTAAGATGAGGACTACCTATACAGGGCAAGAGAAATATGCCAAGGGGAAGGAGCCACAGCCGACAGCTAATCCTGCTGCCTCTTGAGTTGCCTTTTCCCCCAGCCCCAAATTGACTGCAATGTTGCTGCAAGAGAAAGCTTTTTCCCCTAAGATTTAACAGAAGAACAGAGTTGGAAGGGACCTTGGAGGTCTTCTAGTCCAACCCACTGCACAGGCAGGAAATCCTAGACCACTTCAGATAAATGGTTGTCCAATCTCTTCTTAAAAACCTCCAGTGTTGGAGCCCCCATTTGTTGTGACTACGTTGGTGAATTCAAACACGAAATGCCGCCTTCTGCTTATATCAGATTCATGGACAAGCGTACTGTCTTAAATCTGAAAATCCAGAGTTGTACCCACTTTAGTAAAACCAACCCAAATATTTTGGGAGCGAGAGGAAGTGGAGATAAAAGGAAATTCAGCATATGTTTAGAATTACTTTATTTATTTATTTATTTATTTTTCATATTTGTATACCGCCCTATTCCCGAAGGACTCAGGGCGGTGAACAGCCATAATAAATACAAATACTTACTTGGATAAAAGTTTTTTAAAAACCTGAAAATTCGGAGGGAGGTTTAAAAAAAGCATGCACCTCAGACTAACCAAATATTTTTGGAGCTGCACAGCCTTTGAACTGCTAATCTAGAAGTGGCGAATCACATCGCAACCCTTCCATGCCGTGCTTTAGATAAGAGTTTAGAGTAAAATAAGACTGCAAGCACATTTGGCCCAGCCTTGGTGGTCCCAACCTTGGGGAGATGGCCTTCACCATTTGGAAAGGACCGGCAGCCTCAAAGGGAGCCGGGCTTCCTGGGGAAATTCACTCAACCATCACAGCTGCAGCCCGGCAGGATGGTGGGTGAGGCGCCATCAGGGACATGGATCTGATCAGCCCGTCTGGCCGCCACTGGCCTCCTGGCCTTGATTCAATTTCCTTCTCTCTCAGCCATGCAGGGAAATTGGATCCGGCCCTCTACGCCTTTCCATTGGGATCCTTCGTTGCTGGGACTCTGGCCAGGTTTTCTAAGCAGACCTTGGGTGCCAATCATCCATCGCTCAGGACATTGAACATCTCAGAATAACTGAGTCGGAAGGAACCTTGGAGGTCTTCTAGTCCAACCCCCTGCTTAGGTAGGAAGCCATATACGATGTCAGACAAATGGTTGTCCAATCTCTTCATTAAAACCTCCAGTGGTGGAGCATCCACAACCTCCGGAGGCAACTTCTGTTCCACTGGTTAATTTTTCTCATTGTTAGGAAATTTCTCTTTATTTCTAGGCTGCTTCTCTCCTAAATTAGTTTCCATCCGTTGCTTCCTGTCCTGCCTTCAGGAGCTTTAGAGAAGAGGTTGACCCCCTCTTCTTTGGGGAAGCCTGTCAAATATTGGAAGACAGCTATCATGTCAGCCCTAGTCCTTCTTTTCACTACATTACATAAACCCATTTCCTGCAACCGTTCTTTGTATGTTTTAGCTCCAGTCCCCTAACCATGTTTGTTGCTCTTCTCTGCACTCTTTTCAGAGTCTCCACATCTTCTTTACATCATGACAGCTAGAATCGGATTCCCTTCATGATTTGCTTCTTCTTAAAAACTTCCAGTGATGGAGCACCCACAACTTCCGGTGGCAAGGTGTTCCACTGGTTAATTGTTCTCACTGTCAGGAAATTTCTCTTTATTTCTAGGCTGCTTCTCTCCTTAATTAGTTTCCATCTGTTGCTTCTTCTTCTGCCTTCTGGGGCTTTGGAGAATAAATTGAGCCCCTCTTCTTTGTGGCAACCCCTTAGATATTGGAAGACTGCTATCATGTCACGCCAGTTCTAACTTGTGAGTTGAGTACAAACAATCAATGAGTCCCGGGACAAAATTTTCATCACAATGCATTGAGTACCAAATTTGATGAGTTCCAAAGCGGTTGAGTACCAAGGTACCCCTGTATTTCTATTGCTAAAGTACTTTACAAGAGTGAGGAAAATTCTCAGGGATGACTCTCACCCTGGTTATCACTTCTTTACCCTCCTACCATCGGGAAGGAGATATAGAAGCATAGCCAGCTGCACAAACAGGCTGAAGAACAGTTTTTATCCGTGGCCTGTCAGATTCCGGAATGCAAAATAACATCATAACTACGTAGTACGATGGACTTCAAGGGCCGGTGCAACGTGTAACATGTTCACACTGGTGCAATAGGACTGGGTGTTTTGTTAATATGATTTATTGGGCTAGGGATTTTCTGTCTTCACGGTGAGTTGTATTGTGTTGGGTGGGGTGCACTGAGGGAGCTCAACTAATCTCATTGTACATATATTGTACACTGACAATAAAAATTAGAAATTGAAATTATTTCTAGATGATGATTTTGGTACATACACAGTATGCGGGAAGAATGTTGGATAGAAAATTAACCACCACAATGTCAAAGTTTGCCTTGCATCTTGGAAAAACCTCCTGGATTTGACCAGCCCTGTGTGATATGGACAACAATGAACCAAATTCGCAGTAGATGTGCAGAGGCCCTCTATAAATGAGCAAAACACCATCACCGAACTGTGACTGCAGGGACAAAATACAAATTATTCAACTTAATTTGGCACAGGGTGCCAAAATAGAACCAATAATGGAGATTTTGCTGATTTCTGGCTGTGACAAACGAAGCTAAACAATTATATCTGTAATCTAGATATGTTTATAATATTTTAGTTTTCATATTTTCTATTGTTATCACTTGTTTTGTTTTGTTTTTAATCAAAATGTGATGTGAATTTGCCACAGGACAAATGAATAAAAATCTTCCCTAAAGGAATTCCTGACTTTGAAAAAAACTGAAATTGAGCGCGAATCCCTTCAACGTGCAGAAATTGTGGGGGGCATAAAACAGGGCGCTCTAAAAGGACTACAAAGGGGCGCCTCCCTTTGATCCTGGGACTTTTGCCAAAAAAGGAATCCACTTCCAGGGAGCCCCCCTGGGCGGGGAGGGGGG